ACCAAATGTGTTTCAGGGGAGAGATCACTTGTTTGAGTACGATTCGGAACATTGTTCAGTATAATCAACTCACGGCGCGTTAAAACTCATTACTTGGAACGTTTCCAATAGACTGACTTACTTTTACCCTCTTTTGAACGAGGGTCTGCCAGAAATAGGTTCTCGCGCCTTTGACTTTCTTGAGATCACAGAAAATGACATTATGTCATCTAATGCTGTTGCGATTCCTTGTATTTTGCTTAAAACACGTTTAAGTTCAGATTTGCGGTCGCGGAGTTCTTGGATAGACTCGGTGAAATACTCAATTTAATTGTGCAAAGATATATAAGAAAAAATCGTTCACAGTGGAACGCCACTGTTTCTAGATTTAATGACATGCGTAATCCGTTAAATTTATCTATTCCATTTGTCTAGCTGAGTTGGAAACACCTACAAACTGTCTAACCATTAATAACTGACGGGGTGCGTAGCAAGCCTTCTTCGTTTACAACGGACATCTTTCCCCTGTAGTCTGTTTTTTTCAATGTTGCAGTCGAAATCACATTTGGGCAGCGGCTCGAAGGTCATCGCGTTGAGCCTGTCAAAACATCATTTGGACCAACAACTTATTTTGCCATCTGTAGGATACATGACCTCGCGTTACTTTACGCGTCCACTTTCTGTGTAGCCGTATAGGCAGTTCTCATTCTCCTGTGCTACTTCCTTCTGCGTGCCTTTGATGGCAAATATTACCGCAATGAAAGGGAAAAAAACGAACTCAAGCGTGTAGTTTTTGATTCTCATTGCCTAAACTAACTGGAAGCCGACTCGGGTCTTTTATGATCAGTTGAAAATTTCAAACAAACCGGAACCACCCCCACTTTTCACTCGGTTGGTGGCGCCTTTTAAACAACTTAAGGCGTCTATAGGCGATGTAATTGCTAACGAACTTCCATGACAATTTAAGTTCCCCACGCAACCTCCCATTCTCTTATCATTATTATTTGTAGTATTTTAAATCGAGCACTTGCTGTCTGCAAGAATGCAAAAATGAGGCTTCCAGATTCCATGAAAATGAACATTCGTGTTTGAACTGCAACCACTGTCTATATTTCGTCCTTAACATTACAGCACTTTTGGGGCCCTGTGGCCAACTGGGGGCTGCCATTAGCGGCCCTAGGTGACCTCAAGAAGAACCCGGAACTAATCAGCGGCAAGATGACTTTTGGTAGGTTGCCTCTTCAAGCACACTGACTCTTTCCCTGATCATCAGCTCTTCTCTGCTATTCAGCACTCTTCATGCGCTTCGCTATCCGAGTTCAGCCCCGCAACATGCTCCTCTTTGCCTGCCACATAACAAACGAGACAGCCCAGCTTGTCCAGGGTGCGAGATTCATCGACTTCTGGTAGGTGTTCTGCCCTGCATACTTTCCTTTTTGCGCGTTGTTAGAAAGTGCAAACTCTGGAGCCTTCGTTCCTTACCTTACTTTACCCTTTGCATGTTATTTTAGGCATATCAAAAATGAGGACCAACGAGAGGAGATAAGGAAGTACTTTCTAATGGGACCCACGGCGGAGGCTGCCGCTCAGTGAGAGACTACTCCGTCACCCCCCCCTCCCCTGTTTGTGAACCTTCTCCACTGTCCACTTAGGTTCTTCCCTTCCTCTGACGCCCGTATAGTCGCTAGTCCACCGAGCTATGTTCGCCTTGTCGCCCCCTATCTATGGTTTCACCTGTTCTTCCGTAACTTTGCGGTTTTACTTACCTCAAAGATGCCTTTTCAACAGATACGTACATATTGCGTCAGCGGTCGTAGCAGAATAGCCCCTCCCCCAGTTTTTTGTATTTCTGTTGCACCGATTTGTAGAAAATGGCACTTTGTTTGTTCGACCTGCTTTCTTCTTTTTTATCCTAAGGTGAACCTATTCAGAACATGCGAGGCCCTGAGAATGATGTCATTAGTGCACCTCACCATTTCCGCTGATCAACACTTACTGGATCTGCCAGTCGCCTAGGTCGAAACGTGCGTGATCGAACGTACTCGGTTAGATTACACTTATGCTCTTTGCGACTAATCAGTTTCCGCCGTAAGTACTTCATACCAGATAGGCGTTTCGCCACTCGGAATTTGGGGCTAGACTTCCTCGTTGGGTTTACGTACTTTACGGGAAAAGTGTATGCAAAGACAAGTGCTTACACCTTTTTCCCACTTACTCCTGTCTATTAGTATGTAGTGCCAAAAAAGTCAAGTAGAGATGGCGTCGTTGCCCTAGTCAATGCGCTCTCCGAACCTATTCTGCCTGCATTGTCACCGCACGTGAACATCACACATCGGCCTGACTGATGACTCGCGAATCCGTCGCATAGAGACTGGCGAACCAGTGTCTGGAGACCTAGTATGTACCCAGCGCCTCCGCCGAAATCCTCCGGAATCACACACCGCTGGGTAGACACCTCGCACGTAAGTTGGAAGCATGTTATTCGCCCCCCCTTCCGTGTGGTTTCTCGGCTACATGTGAACTCCGCGCGCTTCCTTTC